TGCAACAGTTTATAGTACTTCTTTACGCGTGGAATCGGGAGTACCACAAGGTACAGTCTTTGGCCCAATTTTGTTTCTTTTATATATTAATGATTTTTTGAAAATTAAATTCAATGGAAAATATTTAGCTATGCAGATGAGACTTGCATCATTTTCTGAGGTGATAAGTCAATTAAATTAACTAAAACTATAAATATGATAGTATGATACTAATGATATGAAAATTATTAATTTGTGGTTAAACTGAAACGTTCTTCTTTTAAACTCAAAAAATGTAATGTATTAAAATTTTAATTAAAAAAGAAAATAAGTACTAATAATTTAAACTTTGATTTTCATACTTGTGATGATAATGATGTGTGTTCTTCTTGCCTATCCCTTTTAGTGTTAAAAATCTTGGTGTGACATTGGACTCAAATTTAAGATTTAATTTACATATTGATTCTTTGGTTTCCTGTCTACAAAGCTCCTTATAAATTTAGGATTTTACGCAACTTTATGAAAATTGAACTCTTAAAGGCAATATATTTTTCACTTGCTCAATCCATTATAGACTATGGTATGGTTTCCTGGGAGGTACTAAAAAATTATTTTACGTAAACCGTATAGATATAACACAAAAAAATTTACAGTGTATTTAAAGTACTGAATCGATACCAAATCTTTCTTAAATGTTCATGTTTACACATACACATACACACACACAAAAAAAAAACACAAATCCTCCGTCCCCCAGCCTAGTTTTTATGACAAAGACGAATGAGTCGAAAAATTCTTGAACTGACCTTTGTTTGACCTTGTTCACGAATAAATATTGCATTGTTTCAACATAAATCACCTCACATGATTTTTAAGGATGATCCAAATCGGAAATGGTACAGAAAACAAATGCAGACTAAAAAAAGAAAAAATCTAAAAAAAAAGAAATGTAATGGGTTCGTTAACTTCTCGAGTGTTTCGTAATGGTTCGCTGGAAAAATATTTAGGTATGTAGATGATACTTGTATCATTTTCTGAGGTGATAATTTAATTAAATTAACTAAAACTATAAATAATGATATGAAAATTATTAATTTGTGGTTAAACTGAAACGTTCTTTTTTTAAACACAAAAAATGTAATGTATTACACTTTTAATTAAAAAAAGAAAATAAATACTAATTCAATTCACTAATTTCGTGGACTGCTTGACCAATTAATATCTTACATTTAATTAAGGTTTTCAGTTGAGATAAAAAAGTCAATGGCACGAGCGGGATGCGAACCCACGATCTTCGGCTTGATACGCCGCTGCTCTACCACTTGAGCTCGATCCACTCGGACACCAACACCTCAACCACACCTTTTGAATTTTCCCTCCTTTTTGCCGTTTTTCAAATGTCGTGTAACAATACATGTAGGATGTGGAAAAATGAGTGAATTTATACAATGAAAAATATTTTTTTTATATTTTCAATCAAAGTATATTTTGCATTGTATAAATCCATTTTTTTCCACATCCTACATGTATTTGTTAAATTTAAACAATGTTTGTAAATTCCAGGCACTGAAGATGATCTCAATAAAGATCGAAACGTTGGCACGATAAAGAAAATGTTTTTCTGAAACCTTCTTCACACCAGACCGCATCTCACGATTTTTTGAATAATCATTATTATTATTATTATAACATATAATCAAGAGCATATATTTTTGAACGTACAGGGTAATAATAAATCGGCTATGCTAGGAACCTTTTCTTAAAATATATAATAACTAATTTTATATATATAAACACACACACACACAATTCATTATCTAACTCACATAAAAGAGAGGATTATTATTCAAAATTTCAAAAACAACAAAGAAGGCAAAAAGTTTATATTTTGAAATTTTTTAAATTGTAGTTAAGACATTTTAAAGCGAAGATTTAATTTTTGTTCATACTACTCGTTTATTCTGTATTATGTTTGTTTATAGGTTTGTTTTTCATTATGCTTTTCTATAGATATATTACTTTTATTTTACTGAGGATCTCCAAAAACCCGTGCTGTTTAGTACAAGCTTTGCTTTTTGACAAAACGCAGTGATGTGCAGAAATATTTTTTGTTCTTGTAAATTTATATGTAATGTACATTCTTGCAAATAAAGATTTATTATTATTATTATAACATGTAATCAAGAACATACATTTTTGAACGTACAGGGTAATAATAAACCGGCTATGCCAAGAACCTTTTTCTAAAATATATAATAACTTATTTTCTATTAACTGATAAAATATTTTTTATTAATTGAATTAATATTTATTGCGCGTGAAAATGTAAAGAAATAAGGATCTGCGAACGGAGTTGCTAATTAAAAATATATTTATGTAGACTACCTTACAATCTCACCTCTGGCATCGTTGACCTATTTGAACTTGTTGGGGATTGGAGAAATAATGTTTTATGCGCCGGGCCGGCTTATGTAATGTTTTCTCATTCATCAGAAGCTTTCCAGGGCTCGTTTAAGGTATGTCGACCTCACTAACGTCCCTTTGCTCGATACGGCAGAGTCTAGACCTTCTTCGACATTGGCACGACCTACATGAAAATGCCGTTGCACAACTAAAGTCGTTTTTAGTCTCAAGGCTGGACTATCGTTGCACAAGGAGAAATTAATACTGCAATTTTTCAACAAAATTTATTTTATTTGTTGCTAACTGTACAAAAATAAATATTGAGTTAATTATATAGTTATGTACAATTCTAACACATCTGCCAGACCTGGAGGCGGTGGGGAGAGAAACCAGCTGGAACTCTTTTATGTAATCGGGAGGGTTATGATAGGAGGGCATGAGGCTATCGTCATTTTAGACGGAGGTTTATAAGGGGTGAACGTTGAGAAAAGTGTTTTGCCTAATGGATTATGGTTGAGGTATAGTTTAGTGTGGAAATTGAGGCTGCGTATGGATCCTTCACGAATAGATCGTAAGATCTTTATGGACCATTACATTGGTGATGTAGAAGAAACCGCTGAGCTTGAGGCGGAAAATTTTAGATTGAAAGGATTGAACATCCTTTTGTTAAAAAGATAGTTCGTACTCACAGTAAGTTGTTTCGCAACGATCCGGATTTCGAGCCTTTTAGCTCATCATCAGGNGGATCGTTGCAAAACAACTTACTGTGAGTAGGAACTATCTTTTTAAAAAAAGGATTGAACACCACACTCACTCCACCATTTATCATTTCTAGGATTGAACTTGGCTGTTAGAGGATTTGGTCTAGGCCCACAGTTCTGATGAGTGCTTTTTAAGAGGATAGTTTGTTATGTATGCTTAGTGTTGATTTTGGTATGAGAATATATACTCTTGATATCTTATAAATGAAAAAAAAAGCCGCGTGTAGTACGAACTTTCTTAGTTTACAATAATCGAAACTGGAGTAAACTGGGACATTAAATGATTTATATAATTAAACATTTGGAACAAATCATATCAATATTCGAATCATTCCACAATTTCAGACAGTCCAGTTCCACCTCGAAAATTCTGCTTGGAGGTATAGACCTTCGAGCTGACCACTTTAATTTTCTAATCATCCTTTCTCCAAGGGTTTCCTCTTTTACTTTTATTTTTTCATTATTTTATTTAGTCCACCCTTGTTTTTCTATTGATCAACTTCACTAAAAGCCCGTGTTAGCTACTAGACATTCCTCATCTGTCGTGTACACTGCGTAAGTAAATATTATAATTACTCAATTAATTATACACAATTTTTTCGAAATGAAAAATCTGTGTCACAGGCGGGATTCGAACCCACGACTTTCGGCTAAATACGCCGCTGATCTACCACTTGAGCTACTGTAACTTCGATCGCCCAAGCCACAAACCTTCGACTCCCCATTTTATTCCAATTGTAAGCAAATCGCGGCATCATACAAAAACACTTTTTATTAACAATTGTACTACATTTACGAGACCACGTACGATTCATAGGTGTGATTGTAGGTTATTACTAATTTTTAATTATTTTTATCAGCTTATGCTTAATTATACAATTCTTGGTACAATTAATTGAGTAATTATATAATTAAGCATAATCTGATAAAAATAATTAAAAGTTAGTATAAATATTATAATATTCAGTATGATTTTAAGACTCAATATGAACATTTTCATAATTTTCTAAACTGTTCGATTGTATTTGCACTTCAGACTTAAAGCATCAAAAATAATTAACAAAATTTCACGTTTGCAACTTGGCCATACATAGCTGTGTTCTCATTTGCCACAAATAGGAAATACACTTTCACTTTTCAAACTGAAAAACATGCTATTAATACTTGTCCCATATAAAATTTTCAAAGAGATTATGCTGACAAAAGATCTTCTATTTTGGATACCAGGGCATAAAGAATGTCGGGCAATGAACAGACAAAATAGCCAGAGAAGGATCTGCACGACCAACTGTAGGCCATGTAATGAAGGTATGTGGTATCTTTTATTCGGACAATGCCGAATGGGACACTAATAAAAGAAAAACAATATTCAGCAGATCCTTGCTGCGCAGTGGAAATAATACAAATAAAAACGAAATCCGAATTACAACAAAAATTTATATTCCTTTATAAAAAATAAACAAACAAACTCAAAATCTTCGAAACAAAATATAAAAAAATCTCAATCAAAATAATCATACAAAAAAGAATTAAAATATTTTCTTTTGCCAACCTGTTAACGATAGTTCATAAATGAAGTAGACTCTACGACTGCCTTCAAGCTACTACACGTTATAGCGAAAGCAGCGCTAGTTTTTCAAACTATTTGTTTGGCAAATGAACTATTTACGTTTTTTATATAATACACATCGCAATAACAAATTAATAAAATTTTCTTGACTGAACAATTTAAATAAATAAAAAATAAGATTTTTTTTTCTAAATAAATTATTGTTTGTTTGAAAATTAATAAGGTTTACTTCATTGTTAATAATAATAATTTAACTTGAAAATTAAAACAACGAAGAGATAAACAAAAAGTCAATTAAATCAAAATTGTCGTGATTTTCATGACAAGATGGCCACTCTCCAAAGAAAATGCCGTTTTCTCCGGAGCGAGGGTAGAGTTGATCAATCTCATTCTTGAAAGACGTTGCTGACTGCAGTGGTCCTGTTGACTGTGGTAGATCAGTTCATCGTCTGCTTGAGAAAAGGATGTCTTTTTTTTTTGTGAGTGCTTGACGGTTTACTTTCGTGGCATTTTTTTTTTTTTTTTTAAACAGGTTAATTCAAAATGCATGATAGATTAATTGAGATACACATAATTTGTTTGTTTACATTTACTATTTACAATTTGCAGAATGCTGTGTGATCTGTTTATCAGTTCGGATTTATTTACCAAGTTTTGTTTACAAATAACTTATTCACGGTAGTCAGTTTTCGTTAGGCCCTTCTTCAAGTGTCGGATTTTTCTCGCATTCGGATATCCTTGAAAAGGTAATTATTAAACTATTTACGTTAATCTATATTCATTCTGACTACATTGTTGTATCGCCCTTAAATCTTTTTATTTGGGTCACATGAGCTCTCACTACTGCCTTTGTTTCCACATTTTCCAACACATACGAAACCTTGGACATGATGTTTTTAATTTTGAACGGACCATTAAAACGTGGCATTAATTTTGCTGTTATAGAATGTGCCTTGTCTGATAAATAATGAGATTTCAGCAATACTAAGTCGCCAATGTTGTAGTTCTCTCGTCTTCTGGCTCTGTCATAATTCCGTTTCATTCGTTCGTAAATTCGGCTTAGATTTTTATAAGTTTGTTTCCACAATTTTTCCATTTCCTGTCTTGAACTATTAAACCACAGCTCTTTTGAAATTTCCAATTTTAAATTCATGGGATGAAAAATGTCACGCCCTAAAAATAATCTTGCCGGTGTTTGGCCTGTCGAATTATGAATTGCATTGTTCAATGATATAAGAGTGAAGTGCAATGATGTCTGCCATTTCTTCTGATCTTGATGATGATAAATAGCAATGGCAGTTTTCAACGATTGTATTGCTGTTTCGACCATGTTAGATTGTGGGTTATAGGGAATATTTAAATAATAGGTTATTCCTAATTCAAAACAAAAATTTTTGTATTCTCTGCTTCGAAAAGCTGGACCGTTATCGGAGATAATTATTTTTGGAAGACCGTGTTGTGCAATAATATGCGATTTTATGTTCTTAATGACATCTTTACTCGTTGCTCTGCTTGTCGGGATAGCCCATAAAAACTTCGAGAACCCATCCATCATTATTAGTATGTACTGATTTCCTTCGACAGAACGTGGAAGTGGTCCTACGAAATCCACGTATAATTTTTCCATCGGATGCATGGGCGGTGTTGACATCAAAAGTCCTTTTCTTCCTGTATGATCCGATTTAAATTTTGCACATAATAAACATCTTTCTACTCTTTGCTTTATATCTTTACCCATTTGCGGATAAGTGAAGTACCTTCTTATGTTTGAAAGAGTTTTTTGAAATCCCCTGTGAGATCCGAATGCAGATGTGTGGAAATAATCAAAAATTACTGGATATAAAGCCTTTGGAAGTATCACTTTTGGTTGCGGCATCGTCGGTGTTTTTAAACACAATAGGTTTTCCTTGTTCATGATATAGCCTTTCATGTTGTTATCGCTGGACCTTGTGTTTATTATACTGGCTAATTTTGGGTCCGATCGTTGATGTTGTTGCAATGACGTGAAAAATTCCGGATATCTTGTAATTGCACACAATGCGTACTGCCAGGTGTTATGAATGTTTTGTTCGACTTGATCAGTTACTGAAGAATGAATAATGTTATCCGGCTGTGTAAATCGTGAAAGCGCGTCTGCTATATGGTTGGTTTTTCCTTTTATGTGCCTTGCTTCGAATTCATAGTTTTGAAGAAATGCAATCCATCTTGCTAAACGACCAGTTAATTTTGTCGAATTCTTAAATATCCAAGTTAGCGCCGAGCAGTCTGTATATAATATGAATTTATTGTGAGTAAGATACGTATGGAAGTATTGTATACAATATATTACTGCTAAGGCTTCGAGTTCACAGGGACTATAATTTTTTTCATTTGCGTTTAATGTCCGTGATGTAAACGATATCGGCATTAACTGGCCTTCAAATTCTTGTGCTAGCATCCCTGCGACTGCTACTTTAGATGCATCGGTTGTAAGTATAAATGGCCGGTTAAAATCGGGCATTGTTAACACTGGTGGATTACTTATAATTTTTATAATTGCCTCATAAGCTTGTTGGCATTCTGGTGTCCATATTAACTGCGCTCCTTTTTTCTTTAATCCATGTAAGGGAGCTGCTATTGCTGATAAGGCTGGCACAAATTTGCTAAAATATCCGATTATTCCTAAAAATCCTGCCAATTTCCTTAATGTAGTAGGAGGTGGTATCCGACGAATAGCTTCCGTTCTTTGAGGATCTAGCTTTAAGGTATTCTGAGAAAGTAAATGTCCCATAAATTTTATTTCCAAACATCCTACTTGGATTTTTTCCGGATTAACGGTTAACTTGGCCTTCCGCAATATGTTTAATACAATTTTCACATGCTGAATGTGTTCGTTCCATGTTTTTGAATACACCAATAAATCATCAATAAAGGTCCACACGAATTTATATTTTACATGACCAAATAATTTTTCTATTAACATGGAAAGAACTGAAGAGCCTATAGTCAAACCAAACGGTACTGTTTTGTATTGAAATGATCCAAAAGGTGTGACAAAAGTCGTGATTTTTTTTGACTGATGCGTTAGTGGTAATTGATGGAAGGATTGGTTTAAATCTATTAGAGTAAAATATTTCGCATCTCTTAAATAGTCTACTACACTACGTATTGTCGGTAGCGGCCAATGCACATGTTCAATAATTTTATTAATTTTTCTATAATCCACACATAGTCGGTAATTTTCCGAGTGCGGTTTTTTGATTAAAATTGCAGGACTTCCATAATCTGAAATTGCTGGTTCGATGATATCTTTGTCCAATAAATCCTGAACAGCTGATTTCATTATTTTGAGCTGAGATGGATTAAGTGGGTACGGTTGAGATCTGATAATTTTATTTGAAGTTAGCCGTATCTCCACAGACAAAATATCGGTACGTCCAACCTTGGAAGTTAACACATCTGGATATTGTTTTTTTAATTTTTCCAGTAGTTCAGTATTTACATTTCCTGCTCTTCCTATTGCCGCTAGCTCAAAAGATTTTGCTGGTATTGATTCCCACTTCAATGACTTGCTGGGATTAAATGAAAACCAGGCTTTCTGTTCTGCTGGGAACAGTATTAGTTTCGTGCTTGTAAGGAAATCCATACCAATTATCATTGAAATTGGCAATCTTTTTATTACTAAAAATGAAAATGACCATGAATAATCTAAAATTTTTATTTTCAATTGCACGGTTCCCAATGGATTTATCTTTGTTGAATTTATTGATATTATTTCTTCTTTGCTATTTTTTAAATGTATATTTGAGTTAATTTGTGTCAAAAATAAGAAGAAATTTTCTGAAATTGCTGAAGTTGTGGAACCTGTGTCAACAAGGGCATCTATTCTAATTGAATTCACCGAAATTTCGATGGTACCAACTTGCCCATTGCTGGTTCCCAAAGCACTTAGTTTTTTGATTCTCTTGGTTGGTTTCCTGCGGCTACTTGCGCATAACTCGGTATATGCACTGGTTGCGCGGGGTATGGCGAAAAGTTACCAGGGAGTTGGCTTAAATTTTGCGGAGGATATCCATAAAAATTTGGTATTTGCCCTATTGGGTTATAATAAGGAGGGTATTGACCGTAATTGCTCATGTTAGGTAGAGTTCTCCGAAAGGGTCTATATTTTCTTTCATTATAAATTTTTTTATAGTTTTTGTCTCTGTAATCGGAGAAATTTCTACGACTACCAGTTCTCGTGTTTTTGTTAAACTCATGATCATAGTTTCGGCTGGGACCATTATTTNTAACAAATTAATAAAATTTTCTTGACTGAACAATTTAAATAAATAAAAAATAAGATTTTTTTTTCTAAATAAATTATTGTTTGTTTGAAAATTAATAAGGTTTACTTCATTGTTAATAATAATAATTTAACTTGAAAATTAAAACAACGAAGAGATAAACAAAAAGTCAATTAAATCAAAATTGTCGTGATTTTCATGACAGCCATTGGTGACAATCGATGGCGGTCAGGTCAGAAAAGAAATTTAAAAGAAAAGCAAGGATGCACGCCAAAATATAATTTAAAAAAAAAGAAAGAAAGAAAAGTGATGGGATTCTATGGCTGCAGTTCATTCACTATTCCGTTTTGGGACAGCGGTGGCCCAGAAGTTAGGGCGTCTGAGATCTCGTGTTCGAACCCAAAAATAGCCAAAATTTTAATTGTGAATAATATGGAGAAAATATTGGAAAGCGGTTTGACCCTTGACCGCTGCACCCAACGTGTAGTTAGACATAAAGCCCTCCTGTTTTAAGCTCTTCATTTTTGTCTACAACCAACTTAATTGTCCAAAAACATCAAAACCCAATCAAAAACCTGCATTGGTAAATCGAAAGGGTTTTATATTCCTACACGGTACACAGCGGTAAAAAGACCTAACATATTAGGGCTCGTATAACCTAAAGAAAGATAAACAACAACAAATTTACTATAATAATACTTACATTACCACAAGGGTATGTAATTCGTACTTAAAAAAATATTGGGTAAAGCAGTGAACTAGTAAAACTATTTAGCGTTGTGGTCAGTGGCCTACCAGAGCTGCAGATATGGAAACACCTTCCCTTTTAACTCTCCTTTTAATCTAATAGTTTGTGTTTTAAAAACCAACGTAATGACTGAGAGAGACAAATTCCATTGGGGTAAAGTATACAGGGCATTTGAATTAACTACATCAAAATTTGGTGACCTCGTCTCCTTTAAAGTTAGTTTTTAAAGTCCTTACATTTAAATGTCAATGGCTGTGTCATGTGACTTGGTGATATCCAGTTTTTGTACCTCAGAGGTAACTATTTATGCATTACTTTATGCCGCATAGGATAAGTCAGGGTTCCAATTTAGTCAATGTTTTTCAAAGACTCTTCCTTAATTCCTTGTCGGAGTTGTTGATTTTATTCAGCCCTTATTTACATATTTCATACTTGGGCACTTCTCACTTGTTACTTCGACTTTGCACTCTATGCCAGATTTTAACTGGCTGACTAAGAGCTTTTGAAGATTATTCATCAATCCCTGTCAGTGTATGAAATCTGTCAGTTTCAAACCAGAGAAAAGTAGTTGGAGTCGAATTTATTCATACTACTTGCCAAGAAAATAAAGATTGATTTGATTTTAAGTAAGTTTTAAAAAGAGTAGTAAAACAAAGTACGTAATTAATATAAATTTTATAAAGTATGGTGACGCGCCAGACCTTCTACCTCTTCTTATATATCCTCCATGATT